ACTTTGGTGAAATCTTTCATCCTTTCCTTCTCCAAGGCAAAGAAAGAAAACTAGGGGTGATATTGAAGGGTCCAGGATGTGGCAGGTCCTCCACCAAGCAGGGAGCCATCACACCGCCGAGAAGACGCTCTCCTGAGCTGCTCCCCATTTGTTAGCTGGGTCACCTGGGGCCACTTACTTAACCTCTCTGAGTTTGTTTTCTCATCATTAAATGGGATCTAATCCTACCCACTGCATAGAGTCCTGCGCAGATGAAATGCAACAATGTAAATGCAGAAGATGGCACAGTGACGGTTACCATTATTGAAGTGTCATGTGGCAGCTATTTGAAACTTGAGAGTAAACTTGAGGAAGGATCAGCAACTTACCATGGAAGGTTCACTGACTTCTCTTAAAGAAAATGAAACATGTAAATAACATAGGAGCTAAAGAATGAAATCTGTCTCCTTCCGGGGAAATTGTCACTCAGACCCTGCGGTTGGTCGGCTGCACGTGTCACAGTCACAGTCCGAGGCGTCACAGGCTGCAATCACAGGTCCAAGGCCGCAAACTCTGAGGAGGTGGCCTCATGCCCAGCCTGACCTCAGGTGAGCACCAGCAGAGAGGACAGGTGCAGGGAGGCGCGATCCCGCCCTCCCCGTGTTTCATCGGCTCTGCCCACCTCCCGATTTCTGCTGGATCTGGCGTTAGGCTCCTGGACGTGGGGCCGTGTGCTAACTTGCAGTGAACAGACTGAAAGGAGGGAACTCTGCAGCTAAGCCAAGTCAAACATCGCCGTGAAAACCCAGCCTGAGCTGCCTCGGGGTGTTTCCAAAAGCAAAGCAAACATCATAAATGAACAACGTGCTCTAATTCTCTGCCCCCGGGGAATGGGCGTGGGAAGGCAGGTAGACTGTGTTTGTGGCCGGGGCAGGCTGCTGGGCTCAGCGCTGCCCACGAGATTGCTCTGAACACCCCAGATTTTTCCCACCGGCCCCCTGATTCTGTGAGAACGTCCTCCTGCATCGGGAGACACCTGCAGCCCTTGAAGTGACTGATCACCTGGGGCGCGATAACTCACCGTTGGCTTCGCCCAGCCGGCTGGATGAGCTACAGTCAGTCACCAGCTTTGTCTTCGGCTCCGTGGCCCAAGAATCGGTATTTGTTGTCTATGTGTCTAGAGCAGGGAATCTCAACTTTACCCTGCATAAGAGTCACCTGGATTGGGATGGGGCTGACGGAACAGCCCGAGTCCCAGCCTCGGCTCCTGAAATTCTGATCCAGTGTCTGGGAGGAGGCCCTGGAACACGCGTTTCCACAAGCCCCGCCGCAGAAGGGACAGGCAGGCCTCGGGCACACCCGTATTCTCGAAACACAGGTAAACCGCTCGATTCTAACCCCAGTTGTTTTTTATTACCAACCTAAACTCACTCGATCCCTCTTAAGAAATTCTCTAATAGCCGCCCAGCCCATAAAACCAACTAGCTGCATCTGTGCAAGTTTCCGGTGGAAACCGATTGTCCTGCGCCATACAGGCGGAAGCACAGGCATGTCATGGTCCTGCCTGCCACAAGCCTAAAGTCTCGTGGGGGAGATGGCTTGTTAGTGACACCAGTGAGCCAGGGAGGTGACGAGTAATTCGGGGATGGAGTCTCCTGCCATGTCATCGCTGGCGCTGGCCCTGGACACAAAGGACATGGGGCAGCCTGGGGTACTCGGGAAAGACCTCAAGGAAGCGGATTCAACGGAACAGTGACCCGGCGGGAAGGGAGGAGGAGGAGATGGAGGGACCAGGACACGGGCCAGAAGGGCAGAGCGGGGCCGAGACGGGGCGGGGAAGGCTGTGGAGAATTCAGGTGCAGTGGCTCAGACTTGATCGGACAGGTAGAGGGCGAATGGGTTTCTTACCAGGAACATTAAGAGAAGGGCTTCCGGAAGAGAGAAGAAGCCACAGGGGCAGGCGCCGAGAGAACTGGGCCGCAAGGCTGGGGGATGATTTCAGTGTCGGTGGAGGCTCAGTTGAAGAGTGTCCCCCCAATTTCATGTCCTTCCTAGAACCTCAGAACATGACTTATTTGGAAATAGGGTCATGGCAGCTGTAATCAGTGGGATTGAAAGGAGGCCACCCTGGAATGCGGTGGCCCCTAAGCCAACGTGACCGCTCACTTGTCACGGCGGCCACAGGAAACCAGCACGGGCCTTGAGGAAGGAGAGGGGGTTGAGGACGGGTCTCCAGGCAGGGAGGGATGGCAGGGCAGTGGCAAAGAGTCCCTGAGGCCCAGAGAGCCCAGCAGGTGTCCAGACCTCCCTCTGACAGCGTCTCCTGGGTGACAGAGGTGGGGACAAGGCCTGGGAGGAGGAAGCAGGGGGGCACCTGGTCTCTCCCTGCACATCCTCCTATCCCTCCTCCACGTGTTTCCTAAACAGATTTCGAAGGAGCCATACATGAATACTTAGTAAAGGCTTCTGAGCCTCCTCCAGAAATAGAACGAGTTTCCTGGTTATTACGTGTGCGCCAAGTGATTGCTAAGAGCTAGCCTTGTTTCCCACTTAGGTATTGGGTCGTTTCAAAGAGAAAAATATGATGCCCCCATTTTCCTCACTAGATTGTACCCTTGAACTTCCCCTACCAATTCAAATTTGGAGACAGCTAACGCAGAATGGGCCTACCCATGTGAAAACTCTAAAGGCCAGATTCCCATGCGTGTGGGGTCCGGGCCCCCCAAACTGATGTGTGCTGTGTGGCTCACTTCCCGAGCCCTGCCATCATTGGTGTCGTCTCTCTCCCGCTTCCCCATGAAATTTCCTAAGAGGCAACCACAGAAAGGTTGCCCTCCTCTCCCACGTGCCCCGGGACTGGCTAAATTAGAAAAGAAGAGAAAAAGGTGCATCGTCTGGGTGGATGCATTGCAAAGGGACGCCTGGGTGGCTGAATTACAAACATCCCTGGTTGGATTTCAGCTCCCACAGGGGTCCCTCAGAGGCCGCCTTCGTGCAGGGCTGACGCTGCACAGGTGAACGAAGCACACGGGCCCCGGTTCAGAAATGAGACGCCTTTTCTCGTATCTTTATTGGAGCTGTAGGGCCGGGCTAGGAGCTGCTCCCATCTTTCCGTAGACGACTGTCTGCCACCGCCAGTCCCTGTGCGCGCGTCTTTCCGGGTGGAGGGGAAGAGTCTGCCGTGGGTCTGGTCCGTTCCCACATCCCGGCGCCTGCAACAGCGCTCAGTTACAGGCGCACAGGCTCACAACGTGTCTGCTGAGCTTGGGTGCACGTCCCCAACCTGGGGCTGGAAATCACCCGCCACCGCACAGGTAATTTCCCCATCAGCTGTCCTACTGGTCTTTAATGGCTAACGCCAAACAAGAGTTGTAAAATACAATTCCGTGCAGATCTCCCAGGACCAGAGACAAAGCACTATTATTATTATTATTATTTTACTTGTTTCCTTCTCTCGCCACTCACAATTCTCCTGGCTCCCAAAAGCAGCCATCGCCTCCCCGTGAATATTGTCACTCTGTGCTGTCACCACTGGTGGCTGAGACTGAAGAGTTACCGCCACTGAAACCACGGCTTCCTTCCATTTGCCCCGATACTTCCCTGAAAGCCGCAAGGAAATGAAACCACAGCCCTCGCGAGACGGTCCCACTCACCTCCCCTGGAACAACACTAACGCCACTGGCAGGGGACCGGAGCGCAGCTCGTAACTCACCCCTGGGAGGCTGGATCCTGCAGGTGTCTTAGGGCGACCGGGACCCGGGTGGGGGCAGTGAGGGTGACAGGTGTGACCTCAGAGGGGAACAACGTCTCACTCAAGCGGCGATAAAATAAGGAGTGATTTCTGGACTTCGTTCCGGCTTTCCTGGGCTTGGGTCAGGCCTTTAAGATGATTTGTGCAAAACCTTTGAAGTTCAGTATTTTCACAGCTCACCTGGGGCCTGCTTGAGTTTGCTGAAAGATAAGAGTTATTGGAGATACGAGAGATCAGTTTGAAAGGAAGAGGAAAGAAAAGAAAGCAGACCCTGAGCTGCTTCCTGTTGGAGAGCAAAGAAAAACTGTGTTCCCTGCCCGGGAGCACTTGCTCTCGGGGGTCCACGCCAGCTGATTTAAACTAGGAAGGGGACACCAGGGAGGCTCCATGGAGATGCCTTGGCAAGAGCTTGTGCCCTAAACCCCGTGACTGGTTCTAAATATGAAGGAATTGGCCCCAGGAGAAAGGCTTCTAAGTCATCTCAGGTAGAGCATGGTCCCTTAGAAACTCCAATTTTTGTAACGTGATGTATCGGCTTCCTAGGGCTGCCGTAACAAAGTCCCACAAACTGGGTGGTTTACAACAGCTGAGATCGACTCTCTCACATCTCTGGAAGCTACAAGTCTGGAATCAAGTGGTCAGAAGGGCCACGCTCTCTCTGAAGGCTCGAGGGAAGGAGCCTTCCCGGCTTCCTCCAGCTTCCGATCATTGCCAGCCATTGGCTTACGGCAGCGTAACCTCGACCTCTGCTTCGTCTTCCTGTGGCCATCTGTCCTCTGTGTGTCCTCGGTGACTCCTTCTTGTAAGGACACCAGTCACGTTGGATGAGGGGCCCATCCTACCCCAGTGCAACCTCATCTTAAGTAATTGCATCTGCAATGACACTACTTCCAAATATGGTCACGTGCTGAGCTTCCAGGTAGACAAGAGCTTTGGGAGGACACTACTCCCCCCAGTGCACGTGGGTTATACATCACCTTTGCCTCTTAACCTGTGGGTTGGAGGGGCTAGCTCCACGCTCCAAGCTGTCAAGACTGAAGCTGCTTCTTCAACTCCCCATTGTAAAGCATTGGCATTTGCGAGCATAAAATGTGCATGGTAGCACCTGCTTCTTGGATTAAGTCAGATCATGTTTGCATTTTTGGTACGATTTCCTCAGACAACGAATTCAGGCAAAAAAAAAAATTGTAAATTCCCTTCCCCATAACTAAACATGATTTCTTTCTCGAGCCTTCGTCCACCTAGTAATGGAATTCTTAAACCAGACAACTCCACAAAACTCAGTTTATTCAGGATAAAATTGAACCCGGAAAGTCTGAACTTTCTGGTTCCCTTTCCATGCATGGGGATTAGTGCTCAGCCCTGGGAACCCACAGAACAGCAGGTGTCCCAGGGTCTCTCTGGGACACAGCTGTCCGCAGGGATTTCTGCCTCCTGTGTCCTGGAGCATGATGGTTGTATGAGTTTGCCAGGAGTGCTGTAGCAAAGTGCCACAGGCAGGGGGCATTAAACAACAGAAAATCATTTCCTCACAGCTCTGGAGGCTGGAAGTCCAAGATGAAGGTGCCGGCAGGGTTGTCTTCTTCTGCGTTCTCTCTCTTTGGCTTGCAGATGCTGCCTTCTCCCTGCATCCTCACGTGGTCGCCCCCTGTGCGTCTGTGTCCTACTCCCCCCTTCTTATAAGGACACCCGTCAGACTGGACAGGGCCCACTCTAGTGACCTCATCTTAACTTAATTGCCTCCTTCAGGCCCTGCCCCCAAATGCAGGCACATTCTAAGTCACTGGGGGCTGATGGGGCAGTTCAGCCCCAAACAGTCAATCCCAGCACACCGAGGCGGCAGGAGCTCAGGTTCACTCGAAGCGCTCAGGTGTGCAGGGGCCACGCTGCTTCTCCAGTTCTCTCCTCCATGAGACCTTCTCCCGTGGGTAGCGGAAGGGACTTTAATTTGTCATCAATGCTCTCTTGACCCCTCTGGTTGAAACAATCTCCTATGACAGAAACAGGCTCCATTAGGTAAATATTTATGCATAGATTCAACTCTCATCAGTGCTGTTTCTCTCTTCCCTGCCGCCATACCCTACATGGTGACCAGTGCATGGGAAAAACCACGGGGCAGGGGACCGTCTCCTGGCCTGTGCCAGGCAGCTGTGCCGGCCCTTGTGCGGGTGCTGGCAGGTATCCACTCAGCACAGGTGGCCCTGCTGAAGACCAGGGACTGGGGGTCTGAGCTTGGGGGCTCTCACATGTGACCTGGCCCACCGTGGTGAGCTCCCCCCCAGGTCTGGTGGGACCCCCACTCCATCCCTGGCCAAGGAGGGCTCTTTGCAGCCATTGGCTCCCAGGCAGACTCTTGGCTACATGCTGTTCCCTCTTTGGGAACATGTGAGAAGCCCTGGGTCCCCCCCAACTGCAGAGGGGATGAAGGCAGTCAGGAATCCTGACTTGAGCTCATCCATCCCACCTTCCTTCAGTCATGTGGTGCCCCCCAGTACCTGCCCACACCCCCGTGTTGAGATAGGGTCTCCTCCAAGGATTCCAAACATGGAGCAGAAGAAGAGTCCACTGTCTCTGGGCTCCCACTCCAAGGGGTTAGATGTGGGGAACATTGGGGCAAACGTGTGCACACCAGTCAACTTTCCTGCTCTCTCCTCCTCATGCACCAGGACTGGAGGAATAGGCCGGGCACGGTGGCTCACGCCTGTAATCCTAGCACTCTGGGAGGCCAAGGCGGGAGGATTACTTGAGGTCCGGAGTTCGAAACCAGCCTGAGCAAGAGCGAGATCCCATCTCTACTATAAATAGAAAGAAATTAATTGGCCAACTGATATATAGAGAAAAAGTTAGCCAGGCGTGGTGGCGCATGCCTGTAGTCCCAGCTACTCGGGAGGCTGAGGCAGCAGGATTGCTTGAGCCCAGGAGTTTGAGGTTACTGTGAGCTAGGCTGATGCCACGGAACTCACTCTAGCCTGGGCAACAAAGCGAGACTCTGTCTCAAAAAAAAAAAAAAAAAAAAAAAAAAAGGACTGGAGGAATGGAGCTTCCCCTCTTCTGCAAGGGCAGACTCCTGTATGCGATGTCCTGAGTTTTCTGGATTATAAGAACCTCAAAGGCAAATGTCCAGGCATCTTTATTATGGTAACAGGAGCCAAAAGGACTTTGAAAATCATCGCTTGCCAATGCCCGGCTTACAAGAACACCGTCTTGCTGAGAACATAAAAATCTGCATTGGATATCAGAAGCCGAAAACCTAGTCTTTTTTGCCATTTCTTCTCCCTGCTATGCCAGCCAGAAGAGCAGCCCTCTCTACTCACGGGCCCTCGGCTCAGGGGACCGTCCCCCACCTGCAGAGCTGACCCGAGGCTAGGACAGGATGACGCGCCTGCTCAGAGCTCACTTGGAGCTTCCTCTGTGTCTCCTCTCGGGTGGCAGGAAAACAAACCAGCAAACAAGAAAACGGGCTAAGTAAGTATTCCCTCAAGATCACTCCGTCCTCAGGTCCCAACTTAGAGGCCAAGAACTTGGCAGAGTTCTTCTTGGATCTGACCTGACCCGTCTCTCCCCATGGAGACTCCGTGCCGCAGAGCCCCGAGCCGGAAGGGGGACTGCGTGAATTTCCGCGTATGCAGAACTTTATGCCCTCATGCTCTGGCGGCCAGAAGTCCAAAATCAAGGTGTCGGCAGGTCTGAGCTCCTCCCGAGGTCTCCAGAGAAGGATCTGTGCTCGCCTCTTCCAGCCTCTGCCAGCTGCCGGCACTCGGTGGCCTCCCTGGCTGGCAGCCGCAGCCCCCCCGTCCCTGCCTCTGTCCTCTCTCGTGGGTCTCTTCTCCACCTCTTATAAGGACACTAGCCATTGGATTGCAGGCCCGTGTGGCCTTATCTTAACCTCATCACATCCACAAACACCCTATTTCCAAATAAGGTCACGTTCTGAGGTTGTGGGTGGACATGAGTTTTGGGGGGACGCTGTTTGACCCACTTCAAGGGCTCGTCGGTCCTGCCTCACGTACTGTTCCCGAACCTGTGCAGAGACGCAGCGCAGAGCAGGTGCCCGAGAGGAGGGCGGTGCTGTCCATCCCCCCGGTTTTCACGACAGCCCCGCGAGCGACTTCAGACGTCACCAGCCTCCCGCAGGCCCTGCCCACGGCCCCTCCCACAGATCGTTTGTGATCGCCTGCTTATTTGTTTATACCCCTTCTTGTTCCAGAAGGGACTTGGGACAGATGGGTTTTATGACCAGGCTAAATGAACACGGCGAGACCCTGTAGCAAACACAGTCTTCTCCACAAGCATGAATTCCCATGAAGCCAACATGAAAAGACCCAAAAGCACTTGGAAATTGAAGCGATCATGTTAAGTTTGACGTTGGGCTCCTTTTCTTATTTTTGTTGTCTACTGAAACGCATTATGTCCCTCGCCGTTCCGCCGTTGAAAGCTCTGCACAGTGCTCCTTGTGTTCTGGCGAGCTCTGTGGACGAGGCCCTGCGCTGAGAAGGGAGATCCTGATTACTAAGAGCTGAAGAGGGTGCGCTAAGTGCCTCCTTTTAGGGCAGGATTCTTAGAAAAGAGACTCTGTGAGTGAAGTTCATCGGGGTATCTGGGGACCCTCGTTCATGCACCAGAACTGTGCCCTGCAGCCACGTGTGACCCTAATTAGTTCACTGCGTCAGGGTTTAGGGAAGCCGTTGCAATGTTTTGTATTGGAGATGCCGGATATGCTGCCTCTGAATTTAACCTGATGCAAAGGGAGGCCCTTCCCTGCCTCCAGGGTACCCTCCTTTTTAACTGTTTACAGAGCATTTAGAAAGATTTGGCTTCACTGCTGCCAAGCATCATTTCAAGAAAAAAAAAAATGTGTGTCTGGCTGTGTGCATGTGTGTGTGTACATATGTGTGCATGTGTGTGTCTCTGTGCATGTGTGTGTCTGTGCGTGTCCACATGTGTTCATGCATGTGCACATGTGTCTACATATCCGAATGTGCTCATGTGTGTGCGTGTGTTTGGGGGAAGGAAGCAGAGGGAGAGGAGGGCGCACACAAACGTGGTTCCACGTGGTCAGAGCATCCCTTTCACTCTGGTAAAGGATCCCTGGTGTCGGAGTGTCGCTAGAGCCCCTGACTTCCTCATCCCTGTACTGCCTGATCCAGCGAGGCCTCAGCAAAGTCACCCGGCCCCTCAGCCATGTGGACACAAGCTGGCCTGGGAGTGGAGCAAAAGGCCTCCCAGAAAATTGCCTGCACACAGCTCTGCCTCCAGCCTGCTTTCCTGAAACTAGTCCTCCTATGATAGGAGGCTTGGTGACTCTGGCTGCCACGGGCGAGGGGAAGAGCTTAGGGCTTGGATCCGAGGCCCAGGTCTTCCTGTGACCAGCTGGGCGGACTGCACGAGGCGCCAGGCAACGACAACAGCCCCTTGTACAGTCCTCAGCACGATTAGATACCAGTCCGTGTAAAGTGCTTAGGAAATTATAAGGCACACCAGAGGTTCCAGGTAAGGGGGCAGCAATTAGGCGGCGCCTAAGACAGGCGTAGCCTCTGTCCAGAAGGACAGGTGCATGACTCTGCAGTCGCCCCGGCCACCTGACGCCAACGCCGCCCGCCAGGCCCTCGCTGCAGCCGGCTCCCCGCCGCCCTTCCCCGTGAGGGCACTGCGCATGTTCAGCGTGTTAGATCCTGACAGTTCCCGGCCCCTCGGGGGGCGGGGCAGGATCTGGATTTGCCACTTGGCTCCGAGCATTAGCTGGAAAGTGTTGTTTTGATTAATATCTGCGAACATTCATTCCAACAAAACTCCTGACTGTACACTAGCGGACTGCGGCAAGTCCGATTCGGAATGGCTAATGTCACACCAGTATGTTCTCTGGATATATGAATAGTTTTTACACATACCATAAAACTTACCATTTTAATCATCATAAGTTCTGCGGCATTAAGTACATTCGTATTGTGCAACCATCTCCACTGTCCATCTCCAGAACTTTTTCATCTTCCCAAACTGAAACTCTGCCCCATTAAACAATAACTCCCCATCCCCTTATCCCAGCCCCTGGCAACCACCATTCTGCCTTCTGTCCCCATGGATTTGCCTACTCTGGGGACCTCAGAGAAGTGGAGTCTTAAAGCATTTGTCTTTTTGTGACTGGATTATTTCACTTAGCACAATGTCCTCAAGGTGCGTCCATGTTATAGCATGTGTCAGAATTTCCTTTCTATTCAAGGCTAAATATTCCACTGTATACATACACCACATTTTGTTCATCCCTTCATCCGTGGATGGACATTTGAGTGGTTTCCGTCTTTTGGCTATTTGAACAATGCTTCTATGAACATGAGTTCATGCAAATGTCTAGGTCCTTTCTTTCAATTCTTTTGATCTCTTTATGTTTTAAGACACAATTTTTTGAATGTCACTTCTCTGGGAACCTCGGCTGGGAAGTTACTGGTGTGTCTGTCTCGTCCAAAAGGTGAAATCCTCCAGTGTCCAGAGTACCAATGAGCAATCAGCAGATACAGGACCATGTTGAAATGTCCGCCGCTGAGACGGTTGTCAGCTAAATTATGGGCGGCAGGTGAATAAAAGTGAGGTCGCCTTTCACAAATGTGTTGTGTGAATTTCAGAAACTTCCCATTTCCGACCAACTGCCCGGCGTAGCCAGCACAGGTACGCTCTGACAGCACAGAGAAGCCGCAACCCGAGCTGAGATGTATCTAGCCTTCGAGAATAAAAGCATAAACAAGAACCTAGTTACTTCATTTCCCCACTAGTCTTCTCTATTAAATACGTTTGCCCATCAATTAACTTTCTATTCTCTATTTGGAAATTTCTTTGCTAAACAAATTTCTGACTCTCAAATAGACTATGAGGCACTGTTAACCAAGTTATTTATGAAGGATTATTTCAAGAAATGGGCAGATATCCTAATTCATACTTGATGGGAAATGGTTCTCCGCAGTAGGCTGTGTGGTTTCTGGACGGTGACTTGGTTTGCCTTTATTGTCACCTTGTCGTCACGTATCTCAGGATGAGAGGGTGTCCAGAGGAGAAGGAGCAGCTTCAGAAAACAAAACAAGGGCAGGCACCTTGCTTTTGCTTTGTATTTGGAAATGGACTGGACTGCTGCAATCCCTAGTACAGCGTCTTTTGCTCTATTGATTAACCTGCATTCAGGTGTCACTGGTGACATATGAAACTTCTGCTCCTAATGAAAACCACAGTCTCACTATATGCCAGGGGTCCTCAAACTTTTTAAACAGGGGGCCAGTTCACTGTCCCTCAGACCGTTGGAGAGTGTGCGCTGTGGGCCCGGGACGAGTCGGCTACTAAGCAGGACAGGCAGCTGCGGCAAAAACACCCGGAGGGCCGGATATATGTGCTAGGCGGCCCGCATGTGGCCCGTGGGCCGTAGTTTGAGGACGCCTGCTATATGCCATAGAAATAGTAGTAACTGGTGAGCCACAGATATGACTATTAGGGGTTGAATTCTGTCCCCCAAAAGACATGGTGAAGCCCTCCCCACTGGCACCTGTGAATGTGACCTTACTTAGAAATAGGGATTTTGCTGATGTCATCCAGCCACGATGAGGTCATTAGGGCGGGCTCTAATCTAACGTGAGGAGTGTCCTTACGAGAGGAGAAGTCACGTGAAGAGAGACACACGGGAGCACTAGGGGGGGAAGAGGCAGAGACTGGAGTGACCAAGGAACTGCAAACCAAGGAACGCCGACGATGGCGGCCACACGGGAGCTTGGGAGAGGCGAGGAGGAATCCACCCCGAGTCTCCGAGGGAGCACGGCCCCAAGGACACTGTGACTTTGGATCTGGCCTCCACCACTGTGAGAGAACAAATGTCTGTCGTCCCAGGCCTCCCAGTTGGGCAGCACAGGACAGGCGTGCACTTGCCAAGTGTCAGGGCTGTTTACTCGGTGAAAACGTCTGAGTTTGCAATTCATTCTTTATGTCAGAAAGGACAAGCTTAAACCCAAGAATACAGACAGGGCTTTCGAATCCAGAATCTAAGGGACATTCACGCCTAAGCAGAATCTGATTCTCACCCTCCCTCTTCTTACCACCCTCGTGTTTGAGGCGGTGCCATGGGGTTTTCCTTACGAAAGCATCTTCCCGTCTGCATAGCCTGGGAGCGACAGTTCTAAATCCAGACCATGTCTGATTCTGAGCATGGATGGTCTAAGCCGCCAGCCCCCTCCACTCTAGTGCGGCAGTAAGTCCTGAGTCCTCCTCAGTGAAGAAATGAGACCACCCATCCCTGCAACAGATACATACCTGGCCCCGTCCCCCTTGGCCCATGACAAGCTGAGGGTGGCTCTGAGGTTGGTTTCCTTCGTTTACTGTGATTGGCCTGGTCCTGGTTCCCCATCCTGGCTCCTGTCCTGCCCGAGTCACCGACAGGCAGGGAAGTACACCCCCCCATCACACGGCCGCGCCCCAGACAATGCCACCATCAATGCCAGGACCCCCCAAACCAGCATCTTGGCAACCTGGTGCCCACGACACCCCTCTCCTCGAAGGAGTGATGGGAGCTCCCTTCCGGAGATGCCGACAGTGGACAAGGTACCAAGCCAGGCACTTCCCATCCATCAGCTCACACGACAACACCCTACCAGTCCCTAAGCTCGCTGTGCTTTCAACCAAAGAGGGAGGACCCTTTCCAAGGCTGCCCTGTGCTCCCAGTGGCCACGGACAGGGAAGAAATCCTGTTCCCTTCACTGTTCGGCTCCAAGGAGGCCTCGAGGAAGCAGCTTTGCTCTCTGGACCTCACGTGACCTCTAGACCTCGCTGGACACAGACCCCGTGACTCCAGAGGGTCGAGAGCTCTCCAAGGCCCCACCTGGCAGCCCCCGCTCAGACAGACCCACGGTTTGAAAGTGAGTGACGCACCTGCGCTCACGGGCAGCCCTTCGGTTTTGACACTCGCCAGGGACTGTGAGATGCAAAGCCGGCACTAGACCGGGCTCCCTCCTCAGGGCCCCTGGCCCCAGCTGAGGGAGACGCAGACCCTGAGTCAGAAACGCCACCACCTGGCCGTGGGGTGGCCGAGGCAAGTAACTGATGCCCAGATGGGAGGTTTCCCTGGAAGCCCAGTGACTTTGACAGGACATGCTGTTGATGAGCTGAGCAAGGTCCAGTTCTATCATGACCGTCACCCCAGCAAGTTAGCTGAGAGTGCGCTAACAGCAGACTCACCTTGACAGTGTGTGTGTTGCTCCAATCACAGGGGACCTAAAACAGTAACCCAAAACCACAGGCCTCTCCGCATACATAGTCTTCCTTTCATTAATTTGTTCATTCAACAAACTTTCAACAAAAACATTCTCCCAACTTCCTAATGTGCGTCAGACTCCAGCCTGGCTCTGTGAGGAATCAAAAAGTGAATTAAAGAACAATTGCAATCAGAATAAAGGTGATCAACCCATCCATCCCTCTGTCCATCCACCTAATTCGAAATACTGACCAGCTTCCATCCTGCCCATAAGGACAGTTTGTTGCCCTAATCCCCTGGAATGATTTTAGAGGTGTTAGGAAAATGCTCAAGATCTTCCTCCTCCAAATCTTCATTTACCCCCTGATTGATCTTTGAAATTTCACTATTAAATATTTATTCCTTAGACTTAAAAATACCTCCTAGGGCTGGGCGAGGTGGCTCACGCCTGTAATCCTAATGCTCTGGGAGGCTGAAGCGGGAGGATCACTGGAGGTCAGGAATCGAGACCACCTTGAGCAAGAGCGAGACCCCATCTCTATAAAAGTAGAAAACTTAGCTGGGCATGGTGGCACGCCCCTATAGTCCCAGCTACTTGGGAGGCTGAGGCAGGAGGATCGCTTGAGGCTAGGAGTTGGAGATTGCAGTGAGCTATGACGACACCACTACACTCTAGCCGGGATAACAGAGCAAGACTCTGTCAAAAAAAAAAAAAAAAAAAAGACCTGGAAGGGACAAAATGCTAAGCTATTATGAATCATTTACACCTCCTTAGCATTTTAGAATTTAAAATAAGATCCAAGGGCAGACGTGGATGGCAGGTGGGAGGAGCAGGGAGGAGGGACCTGGTTGGGATAGTGCCATGCACTCTCGGAGAGGTTTGGGAGAGAAGGGCTGGAGCCCCCAAGACTAGTCTTCCTGGCCCTCATTTCCCCTGGCTCGGGCTGGCTCTGTGTGTTCCTGTGACCGCCACACGCGGAGAGGCAGGGGAGGTACCTCTCTCTCGTCAAGCACCCCTGCACTCTGCAGCTCAGTAACTATTTGATGAATGAAAAACAAATCGATACCTTTATATTTATATTTCAATCACATAATGTCCCTGTGACTTTGCCCTCTGGCCCGGGAAAAGCTGTTTCATCCACGCGGAGCCAGGGTCACAGGCCTGGGACTTTCGTACTTCAGCCCAGAACAGGAACAAATTGTTCCAAAGAAAATCAAGACTAACAAAGGTTTAACAAAATGCCTACAAAACATAACATCATACCCATTCATCGTTAAACGCAGCGTTCCTTAAATATCATAATATCTTAAAACAATTTGGAGTTTACATTTTCCCTCTCTGCAGGATTTCCCAAGGATCCATGAGTGCCAAGAAATCGAAGCCAGTTAGTTGTAAGCTAAATGGAGGACTTGGAGCCAAAGCATCCCAAAGGCAAAATTATTTTTAAAAAATTCCAAAAAAAAAAAATTCTGGCAAAGAATTATAGATAATGTGGGTGTACTTTACTATATATATTAGTCTCCCTAGCATGTCCCAATATTCCTAAAATATTGCTGCTCAGCAAAGCCAATTCTTCTATCTCCAGGTCAGTTCATTCCTTCAACGACCTCGTTTCAGCTGTACACATTATCTGGGTGGGGTGCGGGCTGTTGACAGGTAAAGTTCTGTTGCGGTTTTAAGTGTCCTGGCTTAGATAGTGAAATAGTACATTTAGAGGTGGGAAGCCTCTAAATTTAAGAGGGTCTGGGCCTATGAATGACCCTGAACCAAACATGTTTTTGTCTGACTGTGACTTCCGGAGAAGAGACCAAAAAAGCTGTGCAGACGTGGGCTGCAGAGAAACCCACAGTCAATACTATTTAACAGACACCCTGAACTCCTGTGCCATGCACCAAGCACTGCCACCGGGTGCTCCCCCTCTCTGCCCATCACCATCCCATCGCCGGGGACGCTGGGCCCAGGCTTCTGGTCCACACCCAGGGCACCTGCCCACACCACAGTTCCTTCGCTGTGACTTTTCTGCCCCGCAGACGGACTCATGCCTCGGATGACACACCACAGCCCGGGCCCTGAGCAGCTGCCATGGGATCGGTAAGGAGGGGCTAGAAATGCATGTTCTCAGCCATGGCCCAGTTCCCTGCACCCTCGGGTGCTGTCCTGCCAGCAGACCTCTCCCCAGCCCTCGGCGCAAACGTCTTGGACCTCCTGAGAGAGCCACCTTCCTCCATCAGTCCTGGACCCCCGCTTTGCTGCGTCTCTTATCTCCAACTTGTAGCAAATTGTCCCTGTTCCACACGGTGCCCCTCGACCCACCCAGCTCCACCCAGCAGGCATCACCTGACTTCCCACCGCTGCAGCTGTAGCAAATAAATAAATAAATAAATGCATTGACCAGAATCGGCCCGCAAGCATCTAGGACCCATGGAAGCTGGAAGGTTGAGACACTGAGTTGCTCAATAGGAGAAAAGTCCAATCGTGGTGGGGACAACTGCCAGGTGGACAGTTCAGAGGAGGACACAGTTGTTGTAGCCAGGTGGTCAGGGAGCAGGAGAGGATGGGTTTCTAGTGATCCACAGGGATTGGGCAGTTGGTTGAGGAAGCCGTGAACAAGGACGCAGAGAAGCGAGTGTGAACAGCCAACAGACCCGGGAGCGCCAGGCAGGGGACAGAGGGCTTGATCCTACCAGCCCCGGAGAGTCGCTGGAGGGCGTGTTAGGGAGATGACCGTGTGCAGAGGTACCATGTACTCTTTTTCCAAAGTGCAGACATGACATTTCCGGTTGGTCTTGAATGTCTGCCTCTGCCAAGCCGCCTCATCTCGTCCACGGGCGAATTACCTTCCAACCAACAGCCCGTGTGCCCACGCAGGCCACCGTCAGAGAGCACTGTAATTGCCATCGGGACAATTTCCTCTCACATGCTCTGGGCTAGAGGCTTCCAGTCGGTGCAAGAGGGAAGACAGGAGGGTGACGGTGGCCCTGCTGGGTCCCCGGTGCACACGGGAGTTGGCGCCCAGCCAGGCTCCAGAGCAGCCCGGGCTGGCGAGGGACCTGGCCGGCAGATGGGACTCGAGGTGCTCTGCATGTGAGTCTGGGGTGAAGCTATGGGCGTGTCGGGCGGGGGCTGGGGCTGACGGTCATTTGTCTCGAAGCTGGGAGGCCCCCTCGGGTCGAGTGTGGGGGCAGCTGGGGGTCAGAGCGTGCTCCGGGTGAAGGGGTCATTGCGGCCCCTGCAGGAAAGGCAGCTGCAGGCTGGGCCTGGGTGGCCCTGGGGACCCTCAGCAGCTGGTGCAAGGGCGGCCGGGCGCCTAACAGGCATCCGGTTCCGAGTGTTTGGGCAGAACTCTTCCATCGCCTGCCGGGCCTCAGCTTGGGAGCGAGGACCGAATCTTCTGAGCATTTTGAGACCTCGTCAGCTTGGGGAGCCCGTCCTCACTGCCCCCTCTGTCTGTGTGACGCTCACTTTTCTGCAAAGAGCGGGCAGAGTGTTCAGTTTCCAGACTCAGGAGCATTATCCTCCCCCGCACATCCGCACGGGAGGAGGGGCGGGAACGTTATGGATCTTTCTTAATCAGGGTGGAGAATGGCACCAAAGAGGGGAAATCCCATGCCATCGGATACGTACGCTAATCCCCCGACGACCTGAGCCCCACATCCCGACAGCTGCCGAGGTCTTCCCCTCCCGGGATGGGCGGGAGGGCCCCGCCTGCTGGGAGGGCTCCACGCAAAGCAGGGAGGGAACCTGGATTAGTGCACCGAGAGCGTCCCCAAACCCTGGAGCCACTCGGGGTGCTGGCTTTGGGCTGTACATTCCCACCAAAGGATTCAATTCCTGCATTTTTCAAGGCCGAAAATCTCTTAATCACTGGGCTTAGTTTTGGAGTCTTGGGACACAGGAGGACAGCCCCATCGTGGCATTCCCCCAGCACAGCGCTCGAGCCTGTGTCGCCGGTCGGTTCACCAGAGTCCGGACAGACTTATCTGTAAAGATGATAAAACAGTAGCACATCCTTTGCATTTGCTGCTGTCCTGTAAAAGCTTGTAGGTTTTTACATACCGTATCTTAACATCTTCCAGACGGCTCTGGAAGGGAGTTGTTCCGAGATGAGTCACTATCCACAATTAGTCAGCGCCTCTGTCCTTATCTGGCTCCATCTGACTTGCAAATCTCCAGCTTACTGTGCTTTGTTTACTCATCTGTATAATGGGCTCAATGCTTAAGGCTGTAGCGATATCTATAAAAAGGGAGCAACAGATTCTTCAGGGCTATAAAAATAGCACTAATAAATATTTCCTAGGCCGGTGGCAGTAGCTCACGCCTGTAATCCTAGCACTCTGGGAGGCCGAGGCGGGCGGATTGCTCAAGGTCAGGAGTTCAAAACCAGCCTGAGCGAGACCCCGTCTCTACCATAAAAATAGAAAGAAATTAATTGGCCAACTAATATATATATATATATATATATATATATATATATACATATATAAATCAGCCGGGCATGGTGGCTTGTGCCTGTAGTCCCAGCTACTCGGGAGGCTGAGGTAGGAGGATCGCTTGAGCCCAGGAGTTTGAGGTTGCTGTGAGCTAGGCTGACGCCACGGCACTCACTCTAGCCTAGGCAAGAAAGCGAGATTCTGTCTCAAAAAAAAAAAAAAATATTTCCTCTGTTTTCTCTTAGTTTTTTTAGATAAAGATTGAGTATGTCCATTTACGTTTTTAAAAACTCGTTTTCTGGCTGGGTGAAGTGGCTCACACCTGTTAACCCCAGCACTTTGGGAGAGGTGAGAGGATTGCTTGAAGCCAGGAGTTTAAGACCAGCCTGGGCATCATGGCAAGACCTTGTCTCTACGAAAAAATTTTAAAATTATCTGAGTGCGGTGGCGTGTGCCTGTAATACCAGCTATTTGGGAGGCTGAGGCAGGAGGAGCCCTTGAGCCCAGCAGTTTGAGGCTGCAGTGAGCTATGATCATGCAAGACCCTGTCTCTAAAAAAAAAAAAAAAAAAAAAATCATTTTCTTGTTTATTTCAGAAAAGATCTTCCGTTGCACAGAATAAGGAGTCTAAAGGTCTGTTTTTAAGGCTTGTACCAGTGTCTTTTGAAAATGCAGACAGCCAGACTTGCCAGTGCAGGCGTGATTCTTGGCGCTTTCAAACTCAAGCACTCCCCCTTCCAGCCGTCCTGCATTGTCCTCACTCTGTGTGAAGGACGAGCGGCTGCCAGGGCCACGGGCTTTTCTCTGGGCGGCCGACAGCAACATCGTGCAGTGCATTTTCCACGGTGGGCCACTTGCTGAGAGGGCCCCAGGGCCTGAGCCGAGAGCCCCCTCATAACTCGCTGTCGGGTGACTCTAAAAACAGAGACGGGAGGAGCTGAGACTCATTCACTCACCTCATCTACTTGACTCCCGGGGGACCGGCCAGGGTCCGGGAGGCTTTGATCTGAGTCTCATGGGCTGAGAAGCAGCCACCCAGAAGCGGCTGTCCGCCTCTAGACTTACCATGTTTCCCCAAAAATAAGACAGGGTCTTATACTTATTTTTCCTCAAGAAGACACCCTAGGGCTTATTTTCAGGGGATGTGTTATTTTTTTTTAAGTACGGTACATTTATTCAAATATAGTTAAGTCGACTTCTTCTGGAACATCGTCATCACTCTCTAAACCCCGAATTCCACCCTGAATGTCTTGCGACTCTGTTTCCTTTAGAACCATCGGCCCCAAATCTCTCATGTGGAGCAAGAGAGCTCTCATGGGGCAGATGAGGAGGGCTGCTCGTTGTCTTTACCGCCCCGAGTCGAGATGCACGGGTTGTGCAGATGCGCTGCGTGGCCACACCCGTCACTAGGTCTTATTTTCGGGGTAGGGCTTATATCTCGAAAATGCTTAGAAATCCTGCTAGGGCTTATTTTACGAGTAGGTCTTATTTTGAGGGAAACACAGTAGAAGCGCACACATACGCCTCGAGCAAGAGAGAAAGGAAAGCCGAGGTGTGGGACGCCAGGCCCGTTCCCACCGGCAGCCACTCCTGCGCACAGGAGACCAGCAAGGGCTTTGAGTCTAGAAGGCTCCTCCTTAGCAGATATTCACAGAGGCGTCTGGGCTGCACTCAAATGAAGAAAAAATAAACACAGGCAACCGTATTTTTGCATTCTACTGAACACTGCGAGAGAGTCCCCTGTTCCTTCCCACATCCTAACAAGACGTCCTCATGGGAATAAGGCAGGGAAATCCCAGTGTCCAGTTCCTGGTGTGCCCGTAACAGGCAGGGCCAGCTTCACTCAGGGCCCCGCGCTCAGAAGGACTCGGCACTTGGTTATTTCGATGTGGCCACCACTGTAAAATCCTTCATAATTTTGGAACCAGGGGCCTTGCATTTGCACTTTGCGCTGGGTTCTGCAAATTACGTAGCCAGCCCTGAGCGCAGGCAAAGGTAGCCTACAGCGCCCAGCGCTCTGCAGGGGACGCGCGTAACCTGGCCGCCGTGTACCTGCGTCTGAAGGCGAAGCAGCAACCGCTGTGCGCTGCTTTACTGGCAAGGCCTCTGCTTTCAGGAGGACTTCCGCCATCTGAAACCTCACCCCTGACCCACTTAATGAGTTCCAATTCATTCTAAACTTCTTAAACGTTTTAAAAATACAAACATCAAAGTATCCCCGGTTTCCCCCAGGACTGATGCAGTCACATTCTTACCACTGTGATTGTTGTTTGGGGACAGAGCCAGGAGGAGTTTTCTTTTCAGGAGTCATTTGTGAAAATGTAAATGTCTGTGGGTAACCTCTCAGCCAAGACTAATTAACACATGAGGGAGGCTGAGTGCTCACGAGGGGCTGGGGTCCAGGACCAGGACTCGGTGGCAAGACAGGTTTCCACTGGGCGCTAGGAGGTCGGGAGGGGGTCGACAGGGAAGTAATGAGGAAACGAACCCTTTCTAGCTGGGGTAGCTGGGGGTGCAGAGTCAAAGAAGGGGAAGAGCACAGGTAAGACCGTAGGCGGAGAAGAGGGTCTCAGAGGCAGGAAATGCGAGAGCCAAAGCTAGGGTGGATCAGACAATTTTCAGGGGACAGGCGGGGCACAATTGTCCCCATCTCAGGAGAGCCCCAAGAGAGCCCACAGTCAGCAGGCCAGCCCAGAGAACAGACATTTTTGCACTGTAACTCTTTGCTAAAGAGTTTCAAACTCTAAATCTCCTGATAGGACCTTTAAAAGTCCCATCAATTCAGACCGTGCTTCTCAACCCTGTCTGCCACCCCAATCACCCGGTGGGGGAGGGGGGCTCAGAAGTTCCCACTTGAGGACCCCACCCCAATCCATGAATCTGATTCTCTGGGGACGACCAGCACGTCGGGATCTGTTTAAAGCTCTCTGGGGTCGGCCGGGCGCGGTGGCCTGTAATCCTAGCACTCTGGGAGGCCGAGGTGGGCGGATTGCTCCAGGTCAGGAGTTCGAAACCAGCCTGAGCAAGAGCGAGACCCCATCTCTACTATAAATAGAAATTAATTGGCCAACTAATATATATAGAAAAAATTAGCCGGGCATGGTGGTGCATGCCTGTAGTCCCAGCTATTAGGGAGGCTGAGGCAGGAGGATTGCTTGAGCCCAGGAATTTGAGGTTGCTGCGAGCTAGGCTGACACCACGGCACTCACTCTAGCCTGGGCAACAAAGCGAGACTCTGTCTCAAAAATAAATAAATAAATAAAAATAAAATAAAGTGGGAAGTCTGTGATTCAGGTTACGTTTCTGGAATGCACAGAGCTGAGGGGCGAAACCAGAGCAGAGGAGCCCCCAGGCTGGGAGGGCTCTTCCCATGCGGTACACGACCCACAAGGGTGCCTGAAAAAGGAGAACAGAAAAGCAAGGAAGCAGAACCACACCTGATTTCCTCTGTCCAGCCACCTGGGGGCGCACGTGTGAGTTATGTGACACCTGCCTTTCTCTGCTCAGCGCAGGTGTAACCTCCCGGCCCCCAGGACTGTCCCAAACCCTGTCCTCACAGTGGAAAGCTACCGTTCTCCCTCAGGGTGTCGGTGGGTGGTGTGCGACAACAGGCGTGGAAGGCTAAGTTCTGGGAGCCAGACGCGATCCACGTGG